AATTTTCTTTATTTCGATAAGAAATATCGTGAAATGAAGACTTTGAGGAGTTGTTACTAAAGAATTAAAAACAAGAGATAAATTCTGATTTTGAGACTCATTTGGACGAGCCAGTAAAGTCCGTAGTACTTGCCAAGCATCAGACCTACTTTTTGTTTACTTCGTAGAAAGAAAGCGTACTGGTGGATAATGATATATTATTTCGTTTTCGAGAGGGGGGGGGGGGTGTGGATTCACATTTTTTGAATATTCTCCCACTTCTCAACCCCACCTCCGGATAAATATCAGTCTTTGTATCTGCCTTTTTGTCTGTCTGTCTCTTTTCACATGTCATCTGTCCGTCTGTCCGTCTGTTTGTCTATTTGTTTATTACGGTATGTCATGCCAGTGGTGGTGTTTTATGAGCTTCTTTATATATCATTTCACGCATTGTTCCAAATATATTTCACGCATATGCGCTCTGCAATTTATRATCGGTATGCTATCTAGCAGAATTCTCAGTCTGTGGCTTTGTAAGCAAACTATTGTCTGCACTCTTTCTGTATGTTCAGTTTACATTCCAGTAGTGTTGTTTTATGAGCTTTGAATTTCACGCATTGCTCCAAATATATTACACGCATATGCGCTATGCAATTTATAATCTGTATGCAATCTAGCAGTCTGAGGCTTTGTAAGCAAACCGCTGTCTGTACTCTTTCTGTATATTCAGCTTACAAGCTAAATATATATTATTCACATTTTACCAAGGTTGATGTGACGCCAGTCGCACAGGAAACTAATCAGAATCCACTTCACACCCTTCGTCTCCATGTCTATCAGCCTCGAATGAGAAGAGTCCGGGGCGAGCGTGTACTTGTCAAACATCCCGTGAACGAGGAGCTTGAACGACAGCTGTCCAAGCCGTTCTACTTCCGGCAATACGGGCATGGTTCAGTTCTTGATGCTTTCTTCCCTAAATATGATGATCCTAAAGTCATTGCACTCAAGAAAGGTAAGGAAAACTTTAGTTAAGTCCATCTTAGACAATGCTAGACAGGGTTGTTTTCATGGGAAAATGTTGGATATGTGAACTTGCCATGATGCGTCATGGGATTGACAAAAGTACCAACTAAAGGTACGTTATTGTGCAAAAATGTTATTTTTTTTGAGAAATTATAGCTGATTTTGGTTCTTCGTGTCTTTATAAGACGTCCACCATCTTGATAGTTATCAATACCGTGATGCACCTCGCAAATACAACTGTATAAGTGTAGAAGATGTTTGCTATTGCGATTGTAGTAATAAGTCATTCTTTTATTTCGTTGTTATTTAAATGTATATTGTGTACGTGAATTGAGACAATTTTAGTAAGAGAGACGGAGTGCAACAGATATGCTGTATTTTGACTAAATTGTTGTTAAATTGATACAGTTATAAAGCTAATCAAATTTTGTTGATGACAATAATTTTGACATGTATTGTAAATCGTAGACAGGGGCGTATGTTGAAGAGTKCMACAGGCTCCCYCTCCAAATTAATAGACAGAAAATTGACTTTTGATAATTCCCTTAGAATTATTATCGCATTAATCATATTTTTTTAGCTTATTTCATTTTTCTTCTTTTAAATTTTATGACTAATTAACAATTAGACCTCGAGGTCGAGTGKACTACG